AAAAAAAAAAAAAAAAAAAGAACTAAGACTAGGCATAGTGGCTCACTCCTACAATCCCAGCACTTGCAGGATGACATGAGGCTAGAAGTTTGAGACCAGTTTGGGCAATGTAGCAGAACCCCATCTCTATCAAAATAAAAATAAGAATTGGGAAGGTCATTCTTTAGTACACAAATGATAAACTAATATTCATTTCCAATGCATATATTACTTTTTGTATGTGTGTATTTTTGGTAGAGACGGCATTTTGCCATGTTGCCCAGGCTGCTCTCAAACTCCTGAGTTCAAGTGATCTGCCCACCTGGGCCTCCCGAAGTGCTAAGATTACAGGCGTGAGCCACTGCATCTGGCCTACTTGTATAAACAACAAAAATGTTTCTTTTATAATAACCCACATTGGACCAAAATATCTTGTCTTATCGTAGTAAACCTACTAAGCTCCCCCTTTGCTTCCATTACCGTGCCTCTCTCAGTGTCTTTCAGTTATTTCTCCTTTATTCTTTTCAACCTTTTGTTGGACCTAATTCAGAACTGAAGTTTTAAAATACTCTCTGAAGCATATAAAATAAAAATTATGTTTTGTATGTAAAATAAAGTTCATACAAGGCCATTGGTTTGGATTGAGTTTCTGCACTAGGTCCAACAGACCAAACCAAAATGTCCTTATTCATGCTGACAGTTTATTTGATCTTCCAAGAAATCAGGAGAGAGAGAGAGGTAATAGCCAAATCTCCAAACAGGCCAGTTTTAGCCAGCATAATAAAGAAGTCACCTCTGCTTTAACTTTTTACAGGGAAAGTAACTATGAACCAACCCATGTACTTTTTGTTCTGTTTCTGTTTTCTTTAGCCCTTTTCTGCCTAAAAAGCCAACTCCTCTGCTCGGTTCATCAGAACACTCATTCTGTTTTTTAGAAAAATTTTAGAAAAATGTGTTGCTCAAGTCTAGAATTGCAAATCAAAGCCAGTTAAGATCTTTAAACTAAATTTGTTGTAATTTTGTATTTTGACACGCTATCAATAGTAAAATGGTAGGAATCAGAGCAAAAAGACCATAATATCCTTACTTGGTCCTAGTAAGGAATCAGAGTCTAGAAGTGGGTAGTTTCATACTAATAAAATGTTGGTATCAATGTTTCAATAAAGCAAATAATATTTAACACTTGCATTATCCAGACAATGTTAAGTGTTATCATCAATAGAACTACTTTTATTATTATCAGCTCTGTGTTACTGTATTAACAAAATAATCACACCTTTAAGAAAAAGTAAGTGATTGGGAGGCCAAGGCAGGAGGATTGTTTGAGACCAGGAGTTCAAGACCAGCCTGGGCAACATAGCAAGATATTATTTCTAAAAATTTTTTTTAAATTAAGAAAAAAAAAGCAAGTGAGCAAGCAAAAGTTAATCTTCTTTGGAGAAAGGAAAGAGGCCAACCTTTTCATGAAGCCAAGGGATTTGAAGGATTACTAACCATTGCTAATTTTTTAAAGTAATGTACTGAGTTTTTAAGTACATTACTGAGTTAGATTTTAGCTTCTTCTTCAGTGAATGTATTTGAAATAGGCTAAACATTTGTACCCTGGCATCAGGCAAAATCACTTGTTCTTCTCCTCTAATACTCCTTGCCGGTTGATTTCTGGACTGGCCTTTCTTCTTCTTGGAATGATCAGTTTTTGGGGAGAAGTAGACAAAGTAGGTCTGCTTAGGCCTGGCAAAAGACCTTCCCATAGTCCAGTCTGGCACCCTGGAGTTCCACAGTGGGGTCTGTTTGTGCACTTATGACCCATGGTAATCTCAAGGGAAGGACTAACTAATCTAGGGCAGGATTTGGCTTTTCTTGATGCTAGCCAGATATTAAATTAATTTTGCTTCCAACTAACCCCAAGGGTAGGATTAAGGTATTTGGGATACTAACACTGTGACTTGGCTGTCTGTTATATTGATTCATCCCTACCCCTGACATTTTAGGTAATTCCCAGGATTCAGAGTGACTTTTATTCTGCTTCTCCACAAATTTTTTTTTTTTTTTTTTTTTTTTTGAGATGGAGTCTCACTCTGTTGTCCAGGCTGGAGTGCAGTGGTGCAATCTTGGCTCACTGCAATCTCCACCTAATGGGTTCAGGTGATTCTCCTGCCTCAGCCTCTCCATTAGCTGAGATTACAGGTGTATGCCACCATGCCTGGCTAATTTTTTCATTTTTAGTAGAGACAGGGTTTCACCATGTTGGTCAGGCTGGTCTTGAACTCCTGACCTCAAGTTATCTGAGGTCACTTGAGATCACTCAAAGTGCTGGGATTACAGGCATGAGCCACCACGCCTGGCCTCCACTATTCAAATTTTCTAAAATAATTTTTTAAAGATGGGGTCTTGCCCTGTTGCCCAGGCTGCAGTGCAGAGACATGATCATGGCTCCCTGCAGCCTCGAACTCCTGGGGTCAAGCGACCCACCCACTTCAGCCTCTCAAGTAGTTGAGGTTACAGGCGTGTGCTATCATGCCTGGCTAAGTTTTAAAAAATATTTTTTGTAGAGACAGAGTCTTGCTATGTTGCTTAGGCTGGTCTCAAATTCCTGGCCTCAAGCAATCCTGCCTCAGCCTTGGCCTCCCGAATTTCCGAAACATTCTTTTTTCATAGCTTAAAATAAGCATTTTACTTTTATTAAAAATGAGGGTTTATTTTTGTTGTTTTTGAAAAATAGACTAGAATAAATTCTTATCTATCTAGAACAATTTAGTTTACCTTTAGTAGAAAGGAAACTCTTAAGTACAATTCTTCAGTAAGGTGGCAAGAGCAATTTGAAAATTAGGTGAGAACAAAAAGTTTATGAGAAGAGTACCAAGATCTAGAGAAGGACCCTAGACAAAAGAGGGTTTATAGTCTGAACAGGGAGGAAGCAGATGAGACATGAATACTGCTGTGTACTCAAAAGTAGAGCCTGACAAAGCTAAAACACTTTCTAAATATTAACTTTTGATCCGATTCAGCAATCCTATGATAGACACATTAGCATAGCAAATGGTAAAGTAAGGCAAACGATAAAATTATGTGTGCATGCCTAGAAACAAAATTCGAGCATAGGTAATCTCCTTCTGTGCCTCTCCACCCTTTCCTGTAGCAGCATAAGCAGCTTGCAGGTGACTCGGTGTAGGTGTCTTTAGGGAAAGTAAATTGGTCACGAAAGCTCTGTAATAGCTATAAATGTGGAAGCTGATCCAAACTAATAGTGGACAAGTTAGAACCAATTCTAAGCTTGAAAAACAGTTTTAAAAAATCTCTCTTACTGCACAGGATAAAAAATCATATTTTTAAAGGGTCATTCTACTATGGTAGAATATTCCCATTAAGATAGTAGAAGGGGATGTGCACGGTGGTTCATGCCTGTAATCCCAGCACTTGGGGAGGCCGAGGCAGGTGGATCACCTGAGGTAGGGAGTTAGAGACCAACCTGATCAACATGGAGAAACCCTGTATCTACTAAAAATATAAAATTAGCCAGGCAGGGTGGCACAAGCCTGTAATCCCAGCTACTCGGGAGGCCGAGGCGGGAGAATAGCTTGAACCAGGAGGCAGAGGTTTCAGTGAGCCAAGATCGTGCCATTGCACTCCAGCCTGGGCAACCAGAGTGAAACGCCATCTC